TGTTTACATTTTCTCTTACATAATATTTCTTATATACATTTTCCTAATACTAAGTTTTGCGCCTACAGAGCGACTTGAAAATTAGGAGTACTCGCATTTGCCTGGACCACCCGTCTAATGGGTTTTCTCGCCAGTGGAGAGGGAAACGGTAGAAAACCTCTCCTGAGTACAACCGGTTTATCGACAGTCGAGTTCTAATGGTGTGTACCGGACAATAATCGACGGTGCACATCATTATACCTCGACGTCAAACCTCCCGCTCAGATTGTCTCACGTCCGGAAAAATACCAAGCCAAATGGGCGCGAACCAAGGGTACTATACCCTTGGTCCTTAAACGACCGCCAAGCGAGGCATCTATCCGACTGAGCTAATCTGTCGGTTTACGAAACTTAATAAATTAATGTTCTTCCATTTGCATACGTAAAAGTATTAGCACACTAAAAAAATTATCTCATTCAAATAATTTTTTTTATCTATATACTTATTTGATTCAAATAACTTGAATTATGCGAATACTTTTTTCTTAGAAAATGCAGGTTGGCAAACTTAGACTAAAAGAATTTAAAAAATTTGAAACAATCTTATAAACCCCTTCGCTGTTTGGAAAAATAATCATATGATTGGCCCAAAATGTTCAGCAAAATCTGGTAGATGAATTTTTATGAAACTTAGTATACAAGGGTTTTTGTCAAAAAAAATTCAAAATGGTGGATCCAATATATCGAACAAAATTTTTAAATTTTAAACAGATATTATAAACAAAAAAAAACAAAAAATATGCCTGACATTGACAGAACACTACTGCGGAGACGCATGCTTATTCCCGAAATCTTTTTTGACCAAATAGTTATTTGATATAAAACTACTTAACTTAAAATTCACATAATATGGACATTATTTGACATAAATTTCATTGCACACAAAAACCATTTAACATAAATATCATTTGTCATAGAATTCATTAAACAGAAATATTATGTTACATAAAACTCAGATAACTTAATTCCCATTTGACATAAAAATTATGTAACATAAATTTCTATTGACATAAAAATCATTTAACAGAAATTTCTTTTAACCTAAAACTCATTTAAAGTAAATTTTATTTGTTATAAAATTCATTTGACATCAATTTCATTTGGCATAAATGTCATTTAACGTAATTCTCAATTGACATAAATATCATTAGACATAAAATTAGCTTGACATAAATTTCATTTGACGTGAATATCATTTAACATAATTTTGATTTGACATAAAGTTCATTTGATATAAAAGACATTTAACACAATTCTCATTTGTCATAAAAGTCATTTAACAAAATTCTCATTTGACATAAAAATCATTTCACACAAATTACATTTTACATAAAAATATCGGTGCCAATATTTAAAAGTAACCAATTAGATATTATCAACAACATTGTGATTCGCCAATTTTGAAATTCGCGCCTATATTTCTAGTTCAAATGATCTTTATGTAAAATGAAATCTATGACACCTGAATTTTATGTCAAATGAGAATTATGTGTAATGACTTAACCGTCAAATGAAATTGATATCAAGTGAACTTTATGTCAAATGAATATTATGTTAAATGGGATTTATACCAAATGAAATTTATGTCAAGTATATTTTATGTCAAATGAGAATTATGTTAAATGGAATATATGCTAAATGAAATTTATATAATTTTAATTTTACGTTAAATAATAATTATGTTAAATGATATTCACATCAAATGAAATTTATGTCAAGCTAATTTTATGTCTAATGATATTTATGTCAAATGAGAATTACGTTAAATGACATTTGTGCCAAATGAAATTCATGTCAAATGAATTTTATAAGAAATAAAATTTACGTTAAATGAGTTTTATGTCAAAAGAAATTTATGTTAAATGATTTTTATGTCAATAGAAATTTATGTTACATAATTTTTATGTCAAATGGGAATTAAGTTATCTGAGTTTTATGTAACATAATATTTCTGTTTAATGAATTCTATGACAAATGATATTTATGTTAAATGGTTTTTGTGTGCAATGAAATTTATATCAAATAATGTGCATATTATGTAAATTTTAAGTTAAGTAGTTTTATATCAAATAACTATTTGGTTAAAAAAGATTTCGGGAATAAGCATGCGTCTCCTATTGCGCATGTCTGACATTGACAGAAAACTGCTGCGCATGCTTGATACTAATAGAACACTACTGCGCATGCGTAACATTGTCCGAACACTACTGAGCATGCCTGACATTGACAGAACACTACTGTGCATGCCTGATATTCATAGAACACTACTGCACATGCCTGACATTGGTACAACACTACTGCATATGCCTGACATTGACAGAACACTACTACGCATGCCTGACATTGACAGAACACTACTGCGCATGCTTGATATTCATAGAACACTACTGCGCATTCTTGATACTAATAGAACACTACTGCACATGCGTTATAGTAATAGAACACTACTGCGCATGCGTAATATTGACAGAACACTACTGCGCATGCGTAACATTGTCCAAACACTACTGCGCATGTGTAACATTGTCCGAACACTACTGTGCAATGCTGACATTGACAGAACACTACTGTGCATGCCTGATATTCATAGAACACTACTGCACATGCGTATATGTATGTACAATGAGTATATTATGTATATACGATACTATGAATAAATGATAAAAGTCGAACGACCGAACGATGAAGTACGGAAGTAGACGAACGACGGACGACAAAACGACGACGAATATGTTAATATTATAGGAGATTATAGGAGATTGTAGATTTCGGTTTCCATTTTAAAAAAGAGATAATTCATCAAAATAAAATATTATTGTTAATACACTATTATTGAAAATCTACAATTATATATTACCACATGAGGAGTATTGAGAGTGGATAATGAAGTGTTTCTCTTTATCAGAATCCTCACTTCTTTACCAAAATGAATTCCAAGTACAGCATTGCACTGTCAGTTAAAAAGTGATATTTTAATCTTGTTCTTGAAATCTTGTTTCTTGAAATCTTGTTCTTTTTCCTCACTCGAGGTATTTTTATATCTAATTTTTATGTATTTATCTGGAATTAAGAATTCTCTAAAGTTTCTGTAACATTTCAGTACTTTTTTTCTTAATTCAGCAGTCTTTTAGCCACGAAAAACATTTGGAATGATTGGACCTAATGCATTGGATAATTGAGCAACCAGTCCAATTGTCCAAATGCCGTTTGGACAATTGAGCGCAGACGGCTTGCTCAATCGTCCAAAATGCTATGTTAAAAAATCCTTTTTTACTGCAGCTAGGTTCACTTTCGGTTAATCAAATCTGCCAGGGTTTGCAAGAAGTTAAATTTTATACTATTTTTATTTTAAATAATAGAAATCTAATATCTAGATGTTTATTATGAAAAAAATTAAAAGTAAATTGTGCATTTTTTAGAATCAAAAAATTTCATACTATATATAATTATATTAACTGTTTTTGTAGTCTGACAAGGAAAATTCTACCAAATTAACAGCACCCAATGGAAAATTAACCATTGGCGCAATAATGGTCCTATATTGGGAGCCAGCAGTACCAATAATGGTGCAATAATAGCAACCAATATTGGGCCACTATTGCCAGAGTCTTGGGATGATCACGACTTTGCCAAGCATTGGCAGCCAATATTGGATCAATATTGGCTGCCAAGACAAATGCCGGACTTTCCAAGCGTTGGATATTCATTGGCAACAAATATTGGAATATTGGAAACTGTGGCGCACCCTGGTGGCACTTATCCAAAGTAATTTCGAGCATATACTTTGAAGCAGCGCGGGACATTTCAAAATCGAACACCAGGGTGCGCCAGAGCTTCTTTCACTCACCAGCAAGTTGTGTTACCACTTCTATATAAGAAGAGACACTTGCATTCTCAAACTTAGACGAATTTTGTCTTTGTCTGATTTTTATCACATTCTGTTTTTAACAGAGTGTTCTAATTAAATTAATTATTTTTTTTCTTTAGATTAGTAATTTAATTTTTTTTTTTTTTTTTTTTTTGAAAAATTTTTGCTATGTGTTGGTATTTGTAAAATATTGATTTCAAACGTTGGTTCAGTATTGGTAACCAATAAATAACCAAGCATTAATTTAAAGCATTGGTAATTAATTGGTCACTAATATTGATCCAATATTTGTTGCCAATGAATATCCAACGCTTGGAAAGTCCGGCATTTGTCTTGGCAGCCAATATTGATCCAATATTGGCTGCCAATGCTTGGCAAAGTCGTGATCATCCCAAGAGTCTGGCAATAGTGACCCAATATTGGTTGCCAATGTTTGACCAAGAAAAAACTGTTGGCAGACAATATTGGTCCATTATTTAGCCAATGGTGAGCATTGTCAATTTCCCATTGGGCAACTGAGGTTGGAATTTTTTAACTGTATAATATATGAATTATTATTTTTCTAAATTGCTTTTATTTTATTGCTTTCGAATAAGTAAGTTTTACAAAAAATTAGTAGAAATTACTATTTATTAGTAAAATTTACTAAATTCAAAGCAAAAAGTCAGTCACTTATTTAAATTAGTACACATTTATAATAATTCAAATTTAGAGAGTATTTTTAAATTTTACAAAAATCCCTGCCACAAACGATTTTTTATATTTCACTAGATCGGCGCAGGAAATATTACTAACTCAACAGAAAATAATGTTGGAACTTTTTATCTTTAATATATGAATTATTATGTTGCTTATTTTAGAAATCATGAAACATCAAGAGAATTTTTTTTTCTGAAAATTTATAGCATCATATGAATATATTGTTCTTTGTCTTTAAAAAGCCTTTTGGGATTTGAAAAAATGTTTATCTGATTCAGCTATAAATCCATTAAAATACAATTGAATGTCCGTCTTTTGGATTTTGCATTTCTGATTATTTTAAAATTTTACAATAATCCCTTTTGTACAAAAGCCTTTCTATATTTTCTTATAGATAGTCACAAAAGGAAATAATGATCTTCTACGTAAAAGAAAGGTTGGAATTTTTTAGAATTATATGATTTGCTGATTATGGGTTACAAAAAAATGGTCATATCGTGTTTATTCAAAGTTTCCTGTGTTTATTGAAAGTTTAGGTGTCACTGAATAAGAATATACCAGTAAAACATTTTTTCATTCGGTCATTCCCTTAAAAAAACGAGTTTAAAGTGTCAAAAACCGTATTTTTAGCACTTATTGAGGCAGCGTAACAAGAAAACGCAACATGATAAAAATCTCTACAAGAGCTTAAATAAAAGCTTAAACCTTCAACTTTGAGGCTCAGAACTGAAAAGTACTTAAATAATCAATGAAAACCTCCTTAATTAAGCAGTCGCTACCTGAAATTGTCAAAAAAAGCTAGAACAGGAAGCAATTGGTAAAAATCGATTTCCTTAAGCGGATTCGGTTGCAACTTGTTATTTGAAGTTTTTTGAGGTTTCTAATGACGAATTGGAACTTAGATTTAAAAATTTCAAAATGGCGGACTGAAAATAATGAATTCACTCAATTTTTCAAAATTTGCGTTAATAATTTTAAAAAATTGAGTCCGCCACTTTGAAATTTTTCAAATCTAAGTTCCAATTCGTCATTAGAAACCTCAAAAACCTAAAATAACAATTTGCAACCGAATCCGGTTAGGGAAATTGATTTTTACCAAGTGCTACCTAACCCAGCTTTTTTGATAATTTCAGATAGTGACTGCAGGTTTTCAGTGCTTATTTAAGTACTTTTCAGTTCTGAGCCTTAAAGTTGAAGGTTTAAGCTTTTATTTAAGCTTTTGTAGAGATTTTTATCATGTTGCGTTTTCTTGTTACGCTGCCTCAAAAAGTGCTAAAAATACGGTTTTTTGAGACTTTAAACTCGTTTTTTAAGGGAATGACCGAATGAAAAAAAGTTTTTCTGGTATATTCTTATTCTGTGACACCTAAACTTTCAATAAACACAGTAAATTTTAAATAAACACGACATGACCATTTTTTTGTAACCCAGTGATTATAAATTCTTCCTTTTTTATTGTTATTTTTATTTTTAATTGTAAAGTTAAATTGTATATTCCCCAGTAGCACGTAATGTTCTAGTGACATTAACAACATTAAGACAATATTGGTAATTTTAAGGCAGTGTTCTCAATATTGCTGTAATATTACTTGCTACTGGGGTTATATTTATGTTAAATAATAGAAATTGTAAAACATTTTACAAGGTACGTCCTGAGGCACCATCTCTGAACAACTTTGAGTTTTATCAATACGATGGCGATATTTTGATTGCTTTAATAAATGAATCCCATCTAGACCCAGATGAAATGTATCCTGTTCACCTTATAAAAACCGATAGTAATATAAACATAATTATTAATAATATGACACAATCCAACAGAAGAACTGATTATTATATTAATGACACGGTTGGAAGTAAATACTATATCGAAATTAAGGCTTGTAACGAAGCAGGATGTTCTGATCCTTTAAAAATCGCAGAATTTGTTATTAATTATGAAAAAGGTGCGAATCACCTTTGAAATAAGTATATTTTTCATAAATAAAGAAAATTCTAAAATTTATATTTAAAAATTTTTAAAGAATGAATGACTTTGTAAAATTGAAAAATTTAATTATGGATGGAAGAAAGTGTGATTACTTTTCTATAATTCAGGTCAAACGGTGTAATAATAATCGTTACACATTAGGCTATAGTTACAGTTTTTTTGTATCTGTTATAAATATTTACAAATTTATACTTATCTACTAAACGGTTTTAAAACCTTATAGAAACGCCCAAATCACTACAGGGTAGGATTAGACAGAAAACTGCTACGAATCATACATGCATTTTATTATGGGATTTACCAAAAACTACTGCAAGTCTCATTAAATATTATATGATGGTGTATGATGGAAAAAACTTTCTAAAGAATGAATCACTTATTGTTCCACGCGATATTCAAAGTGGTCATGATTTTACGGGACTCCAACCTCGGACCACATATCATATTCAAGTTTATCGACAAAATAGCCAAGGTTTATCTGAACATCCAATCATAGGAACATGCACGACAACATCATAGGTATGCATTAAATTTAATATTTTTTCATTCTTTTTAAAAATCAAGAAACTCTAAATTTAATGTGCTTCTCATTAAAATATTGCATTATTTCTCACTATTAACATGTAAATAATGCAAATAATACTTAATAGCATATCATTTTTAAGTTAACAAACATTTCTGCTATACAAACACTTGTCTACACAACCGGTCAAAATTAAGAGACCACCCATTTTTAGATGATTGAAAAACATTTTTAAAACCTAAAATGTATGGGAACTAAATTTTTTTTCTTTTTATTTTTTTAAAGACGTTAAAATTATGAAAAGAACAAGATCTTTTAGAAGTCATTTGGCCAATATTTTATTTAGATATTTTTAATAAATCGTCATTTTTAATGTTTTACAAAAATTTGAATAACTTCTAAAATAATAAACGCTTTTTAAAGATCTTAGGCTTATTTCACAGGTGATTTATTACACTAGAAGAATTACTTATAGGCATTAATGTGTACCCAACGGGAAGTTGCCAATGTTAACGATTGGTTCAATAATGGGCCATGCTTGGTACCCAATGGTTTTTTCTTGGCAAAACAATTGGCAACCATCATTGGACCACCAATGGTTTAAACTTAGGATGATCACGCTACTGCCAATGATCGGTAGCCAAGCATCGGGCCAATATTATTTGCCAAGGAATTGCCAAGGAGACAAAATCGATTTTCAAAAGCTTGATTTTTTATTGGCAGCCAACAAAAAACCAAGGTTTTGAAAATTGATTTTTTTTAATTATTAATTAAAATTTATTTTTAAAAAATATATTTTTCAAAAAATTATTTAAAAAAAAATATATTTTTTAAAAATATATATTTTTTTAAATTAATAGAACATATTAATTTAATTTGTCACCTCTGGTAAAACAAAGATGAAAGACTGATAAATTCCCTCACTTTATATCTTACAGTGGAGGGATAACTGTGAATGTCTTTGCGAGAGAGGAGCAGGTACTTATATAGAGCCAGTGAGAAAGGTCACAAGCGAGAACAAATCACTAGCATGCACTCTGGCGGCGCTTGTCGGAAGTGGCGCAACGTTGGTTGCCAAGCGCTGTGTCGATAATGTCAGGATATGCATGCGCGCCAGAAAACAGTTCCGACAAGCGCCGCCAGAGTGCATGCTAGTGATTTCTTCTCGCTTGTGACCTGTTTCACTGGCTCTATATAAGTACCTGCTCCTCTCTCGCAAAGACATTCACAGTTATCCCTCCACTGTAAGATATAAAGTGAGGGAATTTATCAGTCTTTCATCTTTGTTTTACCAGAGGTGACAAATTAAATTAATATGTTCTATTAATTTAAAAAAATATATATTTTTAAAAAATATATTTTTTTTTTAAATAATTTTTTGAAAAATATATTTTTTAAAAATAAATTTTAATTAATAATTAAAAAAATCAATTTTTAAAACCTTGGTTTTTGTTGGCTGCCAATAAAAAATCAAGCTTTTAAAAATCGATTTTGTTTCCTTGGGAACTAATATTGGCCCGATGCTTGGCTACCGATCATTGTCAGTAGCGTGATCATCCCAAGCTAAAACAAATGGTGGTCCAATGATGGTTGCCATTAATGTTCCAATAATGGAACGGAGTTCGCCAAGCATGGCCCATTATTGAACCAATCGTTTACTTCCCATTGGGTAATTTTTTCTTAAAAAATGCAGGCCGTCAAGCTTGGACCAAAAAAATTCAAAAAATATTTGGAACAATTTTTCTGTACTAAACACTATTCTAGAAAATATATAAAACATCATATGGTGTAGATTTTTCAAGAAAATTTAATAAAAAACATATATGTTTGAATTTTAAACATTATTTTTCTGTTAATAAGAATGTTCCAAATTTCTTAAATTTTTTTGGTCCAAGCTTGACGGCCTGAATTTTCTAAGAAAAAAATTACACGTTAATGCCTATAAGTAATTCTTATAGTGTAACAAATGACCTTTAGAATAAGCCTAAGACCATTAAAAAGCGTTCATTATTATTTAAGAAGTTATTCAAATTTTTGTAAAACACATTGAAAATGACGATTTTTTAAAAATATCTAAATGAATTATTGGCCAAACGATTTCTGAAATATCTTGTTCTTTTCAAAATTTTATCACCTATCAACAAATGAACAGAAAAAAATTTTAGTTTCAATAAATCTTATGTTTTAAAACCTTTTTTATTCGCCTGAAAATTGGTGGTCTCTCAATTTTGACCGGTAGTGTATATTTAAATTTTATTATATTAACAATAGTTTATATTAGTGTTTTACAATTTACAAGAATAACATTATCAGGGTTCTTACAAAAATCTTTGTTCAAAATTCCAAGTTTTCCAGGTCATTTTTCAGACAATTTTGTTATTAATTGTCACTTCATTTAAATCAATTTCAAATTTATAATGCAGTAGTACCTCCTACAAGAAACAAAAATGAGATTTTACTGTTTTGCACAAAATTTAAAACATTGTACAAAAAAGTTTAAGAATTTAAAAAGAAAAATGATTCTGAGTAATTTTGAAATTATCAAAGAGAAAAAAAGAGAAAAATGATGTTTAAACTTATTAAAATTTTAGGCCTTTTTTATGATTTTTAAATAAATTTTTAAAATTCCATTACCTTTCCATAATTCCTAGGTGATGTAAAAACTCTGATTATTTAGTTTTGTAGTTACGTAAATAATACATAAAATTCATAGGTAGGGGGGAGTGGGGCAAAGGCGCTATGCGGGGCAAAGACGTTTTTTAAAATATCTCCTTTATTTTATATTATTTATTATTATATATTATATCAAATATTTTAAGAAATATAACAAAAAAATTGTTTTGCAAAAATAAAATGATAATTTTACTGAACAAACTTTTATTTTTTAAAACATAAGTTTAAGTATTTAATTTTTAAAAACGTAACATGTAAATAAATTAAATATTTCTCTACACAACTGGCGTGGTGTTATAGTTTAATTTTGTATCCAAATATTTTAAATTTAAAGTAAAAAAAAGTTTTTTATGTGGGGCAAAGGCAACATTGAACATAATTTGGTTAAAAACAATTGAATATTCGAATTTTCTATGTATTAATTCACAATATAAGGTTAAAATAACTAAAAGTTTTTATTTTTTATTTAAATAGTTTAATTCTTTTAAGGGGGTATTCTGGTCTAGAGACCTCAATTTTAAGGCGTTTTTACGAGTGGGATAAAAAAGAAAGTTTAACATTTTTAATATTTACTTTTTTTGCAAGTTGTTTATTAATGTTCAAAGAATACAGAAAAAAATTAGGAAAAAAATAATCAAAAATTTTAAAAGTTATGAACTGGTGAAGTGGGAATTGAAAAAAAATTCTTGTTGACACGATAACTCAAAATCTACTAAACCGATTTACTTCAAATTTTGCAGAAATGTTCTTTGTATATCTCTTTATGGTCGGAACCTTGGATTTTGAAAAATATTTTTTTTTACTATTTTTAAAAAATTCAAAAAAGTTAAAAAACAGAATCAGAAAACACCATTTTTTTTAAATCGTCGCCATTTTGCTAAAAAATGTTATTTTTTCTTTTCCAAGGTACCGACCATAGCGAAGCCTTTAATAATCAAGAATTTCTTTGAGTTTCTTGTTTTAGAACATTACAAAAGTCTCCACACTGTCAACCAGTACGCACTTTCTTTTTTTCAGTCCCCACTTCATCAGTTTATAACTTTTAAATTTTTTTATTATTTTGTTTCCTAATTTTTTTCTGTACTCTTTAAACATTAATAAACAACTTGCAAGAAAAGTAAATACTAAAAATGTTAAACTTTCTTTTTTATTCTACTCGGAAAAACGCCTGAAATTGAGGCCTATAGACCAGAATACTCCCTTAATAATATGTTGTTAACCTTAGGTTTCGTAAATATTATACTAATAAATATCACTTGTTAATTTTTTTACGGCTTATAAATGCTTTCTTTTAGAAATATAAGCGAAAACGTCGCTGCCCCAGCGTGTGGGGCAAAGGCATTTTTTAAATTGTTTTTAAATTTCATTAAATAATTTATTTATAATTATAGGTAATATACTAAATAACGACTATTAAAATTTCTTGTTGATTAGTTTTAGAATAATGAAAAACAAAGCCGCATAAATTAATTGCTTAATTTAAAAAATATACATCGATATAAATGTAAACCTAGCGCCTTTGCCTCACTCTCCCCTATTAAAAACGATATTTAAAGAAAATCGATAAAAACTATGACTTATTCTTATGTTTTATCCAGGTTCATAAACCAAAAATAAAGTGAGCAAGAAAATAGCAAAAAAGAAATACGTATCACGTAATTTTTATATAAAAGTTTTCATAAAACAAGATGTGTTTTAAAATTCTGGGAAAACTTCTAACACCAGGCTGCCTCTAAAGGCAGATGGTTCTACTTTATAAAATAATTTTGTTAAAACATGTAACGTTGATTTTTAAATAATCACGTTATAAAGACCAAATTAAAACCACATTAAAGTTGAATTCAATAAAAGTAATATAAACAATAGAAAGATGTTTCATTTCTTCAAAGTAAAAGTAAATAATATTAATTTAAGTGATTACTCTGCGATTGTGATTGGTGATACACATACAGTAAGAAAAGCTATAACCATATAATAAACTAGCTGTCGGACCCGTCTTCGACGGGTTTTACTTTGATAGGGTGTCTACCAACCGGGAAATAGGCGGGAATTAAATTTTACTGTGAAAAACTAATAATTAGTTACCATTAACTATTTCGTTAGGAAAATATCACTATTTGAATCAGTGACAGACTTTTTTCTATCAAATTTGTTATTCAGGAACAGTATTTGTCAACTTGTAGTACTGTAATTAATGTATTAAAAATTAATCCTAAATTCTGTGGAAGAAAGGCATAACAGCATAACTGACATTTTTATCAAATTTGAGATAACATCAGATTTGTATATATTTAATATTGCTCTTCAAAGTTCAATAGCTGAAAAATCATTAAAATGGTTATTAATGTAGAAAATAATGGAAAACATAATCGCATAATTGCGTTTTTGACAAAAGGAGACCAGCATAATAACATAACTGCATTCAGCTTAAAAAACAATTGACATAATTAAAAATGAAAATAACCTTTATGAATAAAAACAATAAGAATTTTGTAATAAAATGTTTTCAGTAAAATACATTTTTCGTACTTTAAATTAAATATATTTATTTTAATAAAACTGGAACAAATTTTTTATAGCATAAATTGTGCATTTAATTATGTACTAATTTTTAAGGGTATTTCTATTCTAAAAAATTTTGGAAAGTATTTAAAAAAATAAATTGAAAAATTCTTCAAGTTGAACAGTAAAGTAAATTTTTTCTTCGTTTCAATAAATTAAAAACATTTTATAAAAAATAAATTTTATAACTAAATAAACTCTTATAATTTTTTCTAACGAATTAATAGTTTAATTTGTCTTTGTATGAACAATTTTTTATTATGAAAAATCAAACCAAAATAAATTGTGACATTAAAAGTGTCTGAAGTTGGACTCATATACAATCTGAACTTGCATAACCGCATAAGTGCAATAAAACTCATGATTTCGATGAAAAATTATCAAAATTTATATCAAATCGTGTGTTTTATTAAATGTTATAAAAGAATTTTGAAAATATATTAAATAATAATACTAAATGCAAAAGACCGAACAAATCTGTTAATTTTCTGAATTGACAGAAGTGAGAGAACATTAAAATTAATTTATCTCGAAATCATGACAAATGCAGTTATGCTGTTATGCCTTTCTTCCACAGAATTTACACCAGCTTTTGGAGTCAAAGTAGAGTCCCTACGTTATACGATTGCTAAAACCTAAATAAAATCTATATGTTTAAGCTAAAAGTAGGGCTTAAATTTTGACTGGGGTCTGTTTACATAAATATTACATCAATAAAAATTAAAGTAAAAAGCAGTTTTTTAAAACAAATTAATAGAATAAAATTTTTTAATTTGGTAAGAAAATTCCCGGTTTTTCCTGGTCAAATTAAATACCCGGCTATTTATCCCACAGCAAAATGTGTCTCATTGAGGAAGCACGGTGTGACTCGCACGTCATGTGCCTAAAGTGCAACAAAATCAGAACGAGTGACAGCTAAATGCGTCTCATTATGCACGCACCGCGTGACTCGCATGTCCTGTGCCCGAAGTGCGACGCATGATTGTTATCTGGGAAGATGTTGTACTCAATTATAGAAAGTTTGAAAGCATTTTTTAAAAAAATGTAAAATTTGAAAATTTTTGATTTTTTTTATTTGTAAAAAACAGTCCACGGTATGGAACCATTAATAATACAAAATTGGTAGAAATACAGCGTAGAAAGTACAGTTACTATTTTTACATTATTGAACTGCTTTTAAGGGGACATTCCAGTTCAAAACAGGCAAAAAGAAGGCTTTTTTAGTATATATTATTAAAATTACTATGACATTTATTTAAAAAATTTCTGTTACATGTAATAAATAATTTATTTAAGAAGTTGTAAAAAATTTTTTTTTCATTTTTATTTCAAAATGGCAGCGATATACGCCATTTGATGATATACGCATGATGACGCTGAATCAAAAGCCGTTTGATTTTTTAAAATCGCTTCAGAAGAACTCGAGATATCACTCTCACCAGATCAAAAAAAGACATTTTGAGAAAAACGCATTTAAAGTTTTTGTTCATAAGTTTCGAAATTTTTTTTAAAAATCATCGGATTCGCTTGAAAATTGTTACTCAAGAGGTTTTTGAGGTCGCTAATTACGAATATGGAATCAGATTTTTAAAATTCAAAATGGCGGATCCAATATGGGGGACATTTTTTTTCAAAATCATTGGATTTGCTTGAAAATCGTTAGGGGGGGGTTTTTGGGGTCGCTGATTACGTATATGACATCATTTTTTCAAAATTATAAATGGCGGATGCAATAGGGTGGACGAAAAAAAAATTAAACGAAAAAAAAATTAAAATAAAAAAATTTTCTTTTCCGACATATTGGATCCACCATTCTGAATTTCGAAAATTTGATATCTAATTTGTGATCAGCAAAACCACCCAGTGAGAAATTTCTCACCGGTCCAATATCGGTCCAATATTGGGAGCCAAGAGACCGATCATCGGTCCAATAAAGGCTCCCAATATTGGACCAATATGGGCTGATGCTTGGGATGTAACGGCATCGCCAATCATCGGTTGTCAATATTGGTCCAATATTGGCCGAATATTGGCAACCAAGAGAAAAAAATTTTTTTAAATAAATTTTTTTTAATTAAATAATAATAATAAAAAATTAATGTTTATAATTTTTGTTGAATATATTTATTTTTTTAATTATTTATTTTTAATAATTCATGTAAATAATAAATAATTTATTATTTATAAATTATAATTATTTAAAAATGCAGCAGCTATTAGGAAATAGCATTCTGCAAAAAAATTCTATCATTGAAAAATCAATGATAGGCGAGAGATATCTGCGTCATTAAATAGATTCGCAGATATACTCTGGTCTCGCGACGAAACTCTCGATACTTATATACACTGGAGTCGCCGTGTCAGTTGCGAGAACGGTTACAGCGTCCCTCTTGCGGCAGAGATAAGAATTGTCACGTAAACTGCTAAATCGCTTTACCGACCGCCTTATTATACCCGCACTTTACGTGACAATTCTTATCTCCGCCGAAAGAGGGACGCTGTAACCGTTCTCGCAACTGACACGGCGACTCCAGTGTATATAAGTATCGAGAGATTCGTCGCGAGACCAGAGTATATTTGCGAATCCGTTTAATGACGCGGATATCTCTTGTCTATCATCTGCGAATCTATTTAAAGACGCGGATTTCTCTCGCCTATCATTGATTTTTCAATGATAGAATTTTTTTGCAGAATGCTATTTTCTAATAGCTGCTGCATTTTTAAATAATTATAATTTATAAATAATAAATTATTTATTATTTACATGAATTATTAAAAATAAATAATTAAACAAATAAATATATTAAACAAAAATTATAAACATTAATTTTTTATTATTATTATTTAATTAAAAAAAATTTATTTAAAAAAATTTTTTTCTCTTGGTTGCCAATATTCGGCCAATATTGGACCAATATTGACAACCGATGATTGGCGATGCCGTTACATCCCAAGCATCAGCCCATATTGGTCCAATATTGGGAGTCAATCGGCGCCCAGCACGGCAACCAATATTGGACCGATATTGGACCGATTAAAGTCTATTGGCAATTTCTCACTGGGCAAATACATTTTTGTTTGTCTTTTTTAAAAAATGCAAATGAGAAAACATTTAAATCATTCGATTGCTTATCCGCATACAAAAACATCTTTGACATGGCGAAGAATAAGGATGTATAACTTTTGTTTTACTTCGAATTTTGCAATAATATTTTAGGAGAGTATACTAGACACTATAAGAAATCCGAAAATAAAAACAAAAAAAAATCGATTTTTTTGACATTTTGAACTGGAATGTCCCCTTAATATCAAAATACAGTCAACTCTACGAATAGTGCCGCTATCAATAGTGCCACTTCTCCTCTTTCTCGCTCGAGCTCTATCCCCACTTTAGCGACTCAGCACGGCTTCTGAATTTCGAGTTTCCCCTAAGAGAGAAATATACAAACAGTGGGGGTACTACAGTTCCAAGAAAAGTCGTAAACGCTGTGCAATTTTGCGGCACTATTCATAGAGTTGACTGTAAGTGAAAAAACCAAAGATTGATATTTATCATCGGGTATGAATGTACAAGAAATTGTAGAAAGGTCATATTGCATATAATTCGGATTATTAAAAATCACCTAAAGAAATTAAATGTTGTGAAAAAATTTGAGCATGAGAATTTATACAATCAAAAAATTGAACAGATATATTAAGTAGGGGATGTTATTGGAATTTCACAAACATGTAATGTACCTTTGACCGCTACTTTAATTTTTTGAAAAAATTCAATATCTCCTGTTCTAATTAATATTTTTTAAATCTGTAAATTTATAAACCTTCCTTGGGACAAGGTCTAAGAACGTTCTGCCAAATTTGGTTTCAAACGGTTTAGCCGTTTTTAAGTGATGCGCGAACAAAGATTCTGTGACATAAATACACACACATACAAGAAATTTTTTATTAGTATATTTAGAATCCTTGATGCTCAAAACGAATAATTATGTGCAAAATTTAAAGTTCTGAGCAATGTACAGACAAAAGTCTGATTTTATATATATAGATTAGTTTTGGGTCCAAGTCGATTTTTCTATAAGTTTTTGAATTGAATAGTTTTCTATACAGACTTAAGGGGTTACACCACTGTAGACATTAAAAAAAATTTTTTATTTTTTTATTAGCTTAAAAAATTTTTTGAACCTTCTAGAATAAGGAAAAAAAGGATTTATACATGTCTGAAATCGATTTTATTGAAATTTCAAGCTTTTTTACCGGAGAAGAATTTTAACTTACATAAAACATGCATTACAAAAATGGCTCC